GCGCCCGAGGGCGAGGACGCGCCCCTGACGGCCGCGCGGCTCTTCCAGGAGGCGGCGGCGCCCGCCATCGCGCGAGACGTCCGGGACGGCGCGTTCGACCCCGAGCGCCTGGACAAGTACGGCTTCGAGCCCACCCAGGACGGCAAGCTCTTCCAGCTGTACCCCAAGAACTTCCCGCGCTAGGCCCGCGCCCGCCGAGCCCCGCGTCTCCGCGAGTTTGGGTGAGAAGTGGGGTTGCTCGGCGTGGATTTTAGAGGAAGAAAAGCGCGAGAGCCGGCGGACCCCGCCCGAACTTCCCCGGAGACGCCCCGGTAGTGAGTTCCTGTGCCCACCCGCGCCGGCCGCCCCGCCACTCCAGCGTGACCCTCCCGCGCCCAGAGCCCACGCCGGCCGCCCCGGAGAGGGCAGCGCCCCGCTCCACGTACCTGCTTGGCTGGGCGTCTCCAGGGACAAAAGGTGCCCTGGGATCAAAGCCGAGCCCCCACCCCCACCAGGATGCGGCCCTCCGGAAGGGGGGGCGCCGCCCCACAGGGACGCTTCCCGGGCACCCTGGGGGAGCTTCCATTTCTACCTCCGATTAAAAACACGGCCCTCCTGGGTACTTAAGGGGAGTCTGAGGGTAAGTGCTAGAAGGAAAAACAGGCCAGCCCTACAGTCATCTGCGGAGTGAGAAACATGGGTGAGGGAGCCCTTGAGCACAGTCACCCCCGCAGCAAGCAGGGCGCCCTGAGGCCCCCACACGCCTCATCCTGCGCGCTCTCCACAGGTGCCTAGGCGCCCCGTGAGCTGGGACACCGACTTCGGTACAAATACATAACTTTTAGTTTTCCTCTGGTGACTTCCTTGACCAAATGTCTGGAGATGACGCAAGGACGCAGGCAAGTCACGAGGGAAAATTTCAGACATTGAACAACAGCCTGGAACCTCTCCAAGGGACGGCAAGCCCATCGAGTGGAGTCTCTGCCTCTGTTTCCTGCGGCTTCCTAATTCTTCCACACAGTAAGGGAACGCAGACCTGCCAGAGGGCAAAGGATGGCAGTTTGCTGGTTTTGAGGCCTGTGTTCCAAACCCTTGGGGACCAGCTCAAGCATTGTGGGACAGACGCGTTAAACCAACAAGAGCCACCTTGCTCCAGATCCCAGCAAACCTAGGAAATTCAGGGCTGTGTCAGTATTGCCAAAGGTAATAGAGTTTGAAGGCAAACGTGAGGGAGAGCGAGTGGAGGTAGAGAGATGGGGAAGACAAGATGGGGCCTGGCTTCCACTCTAATACTAAAAAAGCAGGTGAGACCAGCTTCTTGGTTCTGGTGACTGATCAAAAAAGTAACACCTTAAAATGACACTGGAGTTCCTTACAGGAGAGAAGGTTTAAGGAGAAAGAACACCGGACAGACAAGCTCCATGGGCCTGTTCCTCAACCTTTTCAAGCTTCACCAACCCGAGCTGTGGAAGGGATTTGGATTAGATTTCCGTAGTTCTTTTGGATTCCAGCATTTAATCATTGAACACAGGGAAAGACAAAGTGGTTAGTTTCACTTTCCCTAGTTTCTCATTGTGTGGCTAAGAATTTAGGAGGACACTGGTCTCACAGCCCTACTCCAGATTTAACACACACCTCCCCAAAGAAATTGCGCCTAGGAATCTAGTGAATTTGCTTACTACAGAGATTGGGTGCTTCTATTTATAAACCTCATATAAATAAAAACATCAAATATCAACAGGCAGAAAAACATAGACAAAGAGTTTTCTCTCTCTGCCAAAGAAAGATGGCTAATTTCAAAAGAAATTTCTGTTGTCAGGTGGTTCCTCTTACAATGTGATTTAACCTTGAGTCATGAGCCTAATTGTTTAAAAAATATGTTTGATTACGTGGCATCACAGACTGTACTTGTCATAGACTGGCAAATGGTGCCTTGCCTTGAAAAGGCCCACTTCTTACCTGCTGTGGAAGCCCCAACCAGGGTCCTAACCAGAAGATGTGCGTATTGATCACTTGGTCCTTCCTGCCTTCAGGGGAGTGTGTGACAGATTCACCAGGTTCATGTTCATTGTCACAGAGAGGACCAAAGAACTGACTAGACACACCCTAGGCTGGCCCTGGTGTCCCCCAGGGTGTGCTCTTTGGGGCTTGAGAGGTTAATGTGCTTTAAAAGGATTAGATATTATATTGGGCCTTGGGTCAGTCTGGACTAAAATTAAGCAGAATCCTGTATTTCAGTACAACTTAGGGCCTGAAATGTGTGCTGTGCATTTGACCTCTCCCAGGGGGCACTGAGTGTGTCACCGTTTTCTTACTGGGTTTGGGACCCGCCACCTGGTCTTTGGTTGGTTGGTTGTTCATTTCAGGGTACTCTTAGGAAAGGGGTTCTGAATAGGCTAATGCCCCTTTCCTCTTCTGGGTATTGTAAAGCCTCCTCTCGAATGTTCCTTAACATCTACCATCTCCTCCCCAACAAAAACCTCATGGTCAACTCACATGATTTCCCTACTTCTCCTATAGTCCTCTTATAAAAGCCTGCTGTGTGGTGGCTGAGAGGACAGATTTCCTACTGACACTTGGTTTCTTCCTGGCCCTGTGTCGCCTGAAGCAAGATACTTTTCTCTAAGCCCCAGCTTCACTATCCATAAAGTGGTATTAAAATCTCATAGGATTGATGGGCCCTCCCTGGTGGGACAACAAGTTAAAACGCAGCACTATGAAGCTATCCACAGCCACTGTAGCATGAGTTCAATTCCTGCCGAGAGCTGGCCCACAGGGCACAGCAGACCTCTCCTGACCTGCCTACTGCTCCCCTCAGCATGAATTTCATTAGAACTGCCTGTTCCGTTTCCTAGTCTGTCTCTAGAGAAACCTCTCTCACATAGACACACACACCCCCTCCGCACCTCTGGCCTGTGCCCCAGTTCTTGTATACATCAGTAAATAAGTCTTTAAAAAATAATAAAACCTCACAAGATTGGACTTTCCTGGTGGCGCAAGGGGTTAAGTCTCAGCACTTTCAAGCTGTCAGCAGCTACTGCAGCATGAGTTCATGTTAGAGCCCCAGCCTGGGAGGTGACCCACAGGGTGCAGCAGACCTCTTCCTATGTCCTGTCTCGCCTGTTGCTCCCCTCAGCAGTGTATTTCAGTCAGTCTGCCTGTTCTGCTCCCCACTCTGTCTCTGGTGAATACTCTTACCCCTCCACATCTCTGGCCTGCACCCTAGCTTTTACTACATAAGTGAAGTCTTTTAAAAAATAAATCTCACAAAATTGTTGGGAGATTAGTTAAGATAATGTTATATATTTATACACCTATAGGTACTAGATATCATATTGTCTCTTACTTATTACAGATAGGAACATATTTAGATAAGTAGTAATCCCTGAGTAAATGGCCACACCAGTTGTTAGGTTAATTTGACACAGCACCCAGTTTGACTGCAAACCAAGCTGCTGACATACTGTCTTTCAGCAGTGCTCTTTTTCTTCATGAGAGAAGACATGCTTGGTATGTTTATAAATGACAGCATTACAGGTATGGGGTGGCTGTCACCAGGGCTGTGTATGTTCACCCCTCCCCCGAGAATTGAGAGTTTTAGTGGTGTGAAGAAATGAGACACTTCACAAGGAGGTTACTCTAGGCAGGACGGCATGGGACAGTTACAGGCAGAACTTTCCTCAGCTGGCTGCGTGGGCATCTTGCTAACCGGTAGGTTGAGAGCAGGAGTTCTGGGGGCCCTGTGATGACCACCCCCTCTCACTCTCGGCTTCCCGTCTAAAAGTGCCTCCTAATTGCGCAACTGGCTTTAAGGAAAACTGAAGTTATGAGGAGAAAGCCCGGTGACCAGGTCTGGTGTGCAGGGGGCCTTTTGTCAGTGTGAAAGTTCTTCATTCCTGACAAAATGGAAGCTTCTGGTTACCATGAAAGCACTGACAGATTTTTAAAATTCCGATCTCAGCCTTTGTGAGCCTTGCCATCCCTCTGCTGTCTCTGGGCTTGTCATTTCCTCTTAAGCAACTCTCCTTGACACACTTTTCTTTATCAAGTCCTGCATTCTTCCTCACAGCCCACTGCTGCTGGAATAATCTTATTCTGGATGCACCTCCCTTCTCTGAGTTCCTCTGCAGCTCCCTCCCCAAATGTAACTTCTTTTTCAGTGTTTTTTTTTTTCTCCGAGTGGGAGTGCTATTCCTACTTCCCAGCAGCTAAAGTGTGGGCTAGACAAATAGACGAATTCTCTTCTGCCTTCTCAATTCCACTTAAATGTACCAAGTCCCCCCACCCCTTCTTATTTGTGGAAACTGGCAAAATGTTTTGGGGTGTTTTTTTTGTTTGTTTGTTTGTTTGCATTTCAGCTTTTCTGTTGAATTTTTGTGTTTGCTTTAAATAAGCCGCCATCAGAGTCAGGTAACAGAGGAAAGGAATCAGAGCCTCAGAGCCTCATGCGCATAAAGTACAAAGAGGGGGAGTCAGGCTAGAAGACTTGGGGATGCACAGCCCATACAGGCAAGTCAGAAGACAGGCCTAAAGGAAAAGGACATTAACTCATGACACATGAAAAGCATGTAAAATTCTGATTCTGATGTTCATAAGTAAAATATCCTTTGGACACAGCCCACTTATTTCTCCAAACCGTGGCAGCTTTTGTACTCAGCAGCGCTGAGTTGTTATAACAGGCTGGCAGCACCTAAACTGTAACAGAAAAAGCTTCTCAATCTCTGCTCAAGGCCAAGGCTTCTGAAATTACGAGGGCATTTTGCTAAAATGCAGGCTGGTTTGGGGGGGCTGCGTGGTGGCCCAAAGGGTTAAGTCTCAGCCCTAGGAAGCTATCACCAGACCCTGCAGCATGAGTTCTAATCCCAGCCAGGGAGCTGGCCCGCAGGGCGCAGCAGACCTCTCCTGACCCGCCTCTGCTGCTCCCCTCTGCAGTGGATTTCAGCACATCTGCCTGTTCTGCTCCCCGCTGTATCCTCCCATCCTGCACCTCTGGCCTGTACCCAGTTCCTGTAGGCATGAATAAATAAAACTTTTTAAAAAGTAATAAAACAGAACGCTGGCTTGGAGCCCAGAGCAGGGACGGCGCCTGCAGTGGCCAACCCCGTCGGCCCGCGTGCTGGGTGGCTGCCTCCACGCAGCACGTCCAGTCCGGTGTGGCCTTTGTGAATGCTTTCTAAGTAAGCAAATCTCAGAAAATAGGAAGAACTGCTCGTAGCCCACAATTCTAACTTGGAATTGCAGTGCTTGGGCTCCCAGTGGCGGCCTCGCCAGAGGTGGACCCTGATTTGCCGGCAGCCTCACTGAGGCCAGGGCTGCAGCCCCGGTGCTGCCTGTCACATGCCCAAATGCACCCTGCACAAATCAGCCCGCCACAGCGGGGCCTTCTCGGCCCTGGGATTCCAGAGTTGGAGTGGGAAGAGTGCGAGTTCACCTTTTTAAAATCAATCTCAAATTTTCCAATCTCAGACAAGTCCTCTCAGGAATCTTCACACTCACCAGCACAGCTCAGGCCCAGGAGCCTCGGGTCCCAATCCCAGCCCTCCCACACTCTCGTTCTGAGGTACAGGGACTCATAATCTTGGCAACTTCATTTCCTTATCTATTATGTTACCTGGAGATAACTCGGTAACTTAACACATCCCAAACCTGTTTTCCTCCCCACCAGCCCCCACCCCACCTCCCATTTTAGCAAATGTCACTTCCTGGGTTTGTGATTTAGACAGAAAACCTTGGACTTCTCTCTCCTGCCCTGCCTGCAGCTCCCCCAGCAGCACACCTGCCCACTCCCACCTCAAGACCTTTGCACTGTTTCTACCTGGAGTGCTCGGACAGGTAACTTAGCAAGCACAGCCATGTACTTGTTACATGGTTTGGCGTGTGTCCCATCTTCTCTGTGTAGTAATGACCTGAGCTGGCAAGCAGCTACTTTCTCATGATAGCGTGAGAGGACCCTCCAGGAGCCTTCCAGAGACAACCATGCAGGCTTTCAGTCAGAAAGACGTGAGAAGGATGGCTTAAAAAGAAATAACAGGGCCCTCTCTGGTGGCGCAATGGGTTGGAGTGCAGCACTGCAAGCTGGCTGCTGCTGCTTCAGCATGAGTTCGATCCCTGCCTCCGGAGGTGACCCACAGGGCGCGGCAGACCTCTCCTGACCCGCCCGCTACTCCCCTCAGCAGTGTACCTCATCAATCTGCCTGTTCTCTGGTAACTCCACTCTGTCTCTGGTGAATCCTTTTGCTGCCCTTGCCTCTGGCCTGTACTCCAGTTCTATATGCATGAATAAATATATTTTTTTAAAGATTTATTTATTTGTGCATACAGAACTGGGGTACAGGCCAGAGGCTCGGGGTGGTGAGAGGCTTCACCAGAGACAGAGTGGGGAGCAGAACAGGCAGATCGATGAAGTACACTGCTGAGGGGAGCAGCGGGCGGGTCAGGAGAGGTCTGCCATGCCATGTGGTCACCTCCAGGGCAGGCGGGAATCGAACTCATGCGGAAGTGGCTTTAGTTTCTCAGTGCTGTGCTTTAACCAGCTGCGCCACCAGGGAGGGCCATAAATATTTTTTTTAAAAAACAAAGGGGGACTTCCTGGTGATGCATGGGGCTCAGTCTCAGTGCTATGAAACTATCAGCAGTACTGCAGCATGAGTTTGAGCCCCACACCTCTGGCCTGTACTCCAGCTCTTGTATGTATAAATAAATCTTTAAAAAGAAAAGAGCAGGACCCTCCATGGTGGTGCAGCAGTTGTCAGCCACTGCAGCATGAGTTCAATCCCTGGCCAGGGAGGTGACCCACATGGTGCAGCAGACCTCTCCTGACCCTCCTGCAGCTCCCCACAGCAGTGTGCATCATCAGTCTGCCTGTTCTGCTCCCCACTCTGTCTCTGGTGAATCCTCTCACCCACTGCACCTCTGGCCTGTACCCCAGTTCTTATGTGTATAAATAAATAGATCTTAAAAAAATAATATAAAGAGCAAAGCACCAAACCAAACCTTTGCTTTTGTATATGTTGGTAGGAGGAATAGACAATAAACAGAATCCCAGCCTGGGCAGAGTGCTGGAGGTATCAGAACGCAAGTCACTGGGTGCAGAGCTCGACCCCAGGGGGTGTGGATGCTGCATTACAGAGGGTAAGTCAGGACAGCTTTCTCCAGTGGCCACTGGGCAGTTTTGTGCTGCAGTGAGTTTCAACATCCGGAGCTTGTTCTTATCCCCAAAAGATTAAATTCTAACTATTGGATGGTTCATAGAAAAGTCACACAAAACATGTAAATAAGTGACTATAGCTCTGTTCTGATTAAACTTTATTTGCAGCAATGGGCTGCTGGTGGCAGGGGGCATGCCGGCCGGCATGACTTTCCAAGTTTAGCTTGCATCACAATTGCCCCAAGGGCTCGCTCAAACCCAGATTGCTCAGCCCCAAAGTGTCTGATTTAGTGAGTCTGGGGTGAGTCAACCAATTGAACTTGACATTCACCAATCACCCGGGTAAGGCTGAAGCTGCTGTTATAAGAACTGCTTGGAGAACCTTAAATCTTGGGTTACCCCCTTCTTTCTCCATTTAAAACATGTATTCTTGCTGTAGATATAGCCTTTACTGTATTATGGTTAAATGGCTGGTGTGGGGGTCTCTGGGATCCCTTTTTTTTTTTTTTTAAAGATTTATTTATTTGTGCATACAGAACTGGGTTGCAGGCCAGAGCTGCAGGAGCTGTGAGAGGATTCACCAGAGACAGAGTG